TGCACACACCTGTACACACCTGTTCACATCTGTACACACCTGTACACACCTGTACACATCTGTACACACCTGTACAGACCTGCACACACCTGTGGAGCACATCTGCACACACCTGCACACACCTGTACACACCTGTTCACATCTGTACACACCTGTACACACCTGTACACATCTGTACACACCTGTACAGACCTGCACACACCTGTGGAGCACATCTGCACACACCTGCACACACCTGTACACACCTGTTCACATCTGTACACACCTGTACACACCTGTACACATCTGTACACACCTGTACAGACCTGCACACACCTGTGGAGCACATCTGCACACACCTGCACACACCTGTACACACCTGTTCACATCTGTACACACCTGTACACACCTGTACACATCTGTACACACCTGTACAGACCTGCACACACCTGTGGAGCACATCTGCACACACCTGCACACACCTGTACACACCTGCACACACCTGAACACGCCTGTTCACATCTGTTCACACCTGCACACACCTGTGGAGCACAGGTGTGTGCACCTGTACACACCTGAGACACCTGTTCACACCTGTACGCACCTGAGACACCTGTACAGACCTGTACGCACCTGAGGCACCTGTTCACACCTGCACACACCTGCACACACCTGCACACGCACACACGCTGTGGGTGCTGCACACTCACCTGTCACACACACACACACCTGTCCACAGGTGTGCCACACGCGGCAGCACAGGGACAGAGCCAGCGCTGCACACCTGGGCAATGCACACCTGAGCACATCTGCACACACCTGCTGTACATGGCACACCTGTACACCTGTACATGGTACACCTGTACATGGCACACCTGTACATGGTACACTTGTACACCTGTACATGGTACACCTGTACACCTGTACATGGTACACCCGTGCAATGCACACCTGTGCAATGCACACCTGTACATGGCACACTTGTACACCTGCACATGGTACACCTGTGCACCTGTACATGGCACACCTGTACATGGCACACCTGTACACCTGTACACCTGTACACCTGTACACCTGCACACCTGTACATGGTACACCTGTACATGGCACACCTGTACACCTGTACATGGCACACCTGTACACCTGTACATGGTGCACCTGTACACCTGTGCACCTGTACACCTCTACATGGCACACCTGTACACCTGTACATGGTACACCTGTACACCTGTACACCTGCACACCTGTACACCTGTACACCTGTATATGGCACACCTGTACACCTGTGCACCTGTGCATGGCACACATTATACCTGTACTGCACACCTAGACACACCTGGACACACCTGACACCACCAGTCCTGTGCATGTTCAGGTGCTGCAGGTGCTGCTCTCGCTGCTCACACCTGGACACACCTGGACACACATCAGTGCACACCTGTGCACCTCTACACACCTCACACCTGCACACAGCTGTACGCACACCTGCACACACCTGAACACACCTGGACATACCTGTACACATCTCACACACCAGCACACACCTGAGCACACCTCACACACCTGCACACCTGAGCACACCTGTGAGCACACCTGAGCACTCCTGCAGACACCTGTACACGTCTCACACACCTGCACACAGCTGAGCACACCTGTATGCACACCTGAGCACACCTGCATGCACACCTGCACACTGCACACCCCACGCAGCTCCCCCAGGTGCCGCAGCTGCTGCTTCCCCCACCCCCCCCAGGTACCCCCAGGTGTTCCCAGGTACCCCCAGGTACATCCAGGTGTTTCCACGTACCCCCAGGTGTGTCCTGCCCTCACCTGGGCCCTTCCCGCAGGTGTTGGGGCGCCCCCCTCCCCCCCAATTCAGGTACTGCAGGCCTGGGAGCTGCGGGCGGGGGAGGGGTCCTGTGCAGGGGGCACACCTGGGACACACCTGGGGACATACCTTGGGACACCTGGAACACACCTGGGACACACCTGGGGACACCTGGGACACACCTGGGCACACCTGGGGACTCCTGGGGACAACTGGGGACACCTGGGCACACACACAGATACACCCAGACACACCTGGGGACACATCTGGGGACACCTGAGGACACCTGGAACACACCTGGGCACACCTGGGCGCACCTGGGGACATCTGGGCACACCTGGGCACACCTGGGGACACACCCAGACACACCCAGACACACCTGGGCGCACCTGGGAACACACCTGGGCACACCTGGGCACACCTGGGACACACCTGGGCACACCTGGGACACACCTGGGACACACCCGGGCACACCTGGGCGCACCTGGGACACACCTGGGCACACCCAGACACACCTGGGTGCACCTGGGGACACACCTGGGCACACCTGGGCACACCTGGGACACACCTGGGCACACCTGGGCGCACCTGGGGCCCCCCGAGGGATTCAGGACAAGCACAAACGGCCCCGGCCCCGCGGCCAATAAAGGGACGAACCTGCCCCGGCCTCTACCTGTGCTGTGCTGGGACCCCCCGGGACCCCCCCCCGAGACCCCCCCGGGATCACCGGGACCCCCCCGGGACCCCCCCCGCGGGACCCCCTCGGAACCCCCCGGGACCCCCCGGGACCACCTGGGACCCCCCCGGGACCCCCCCC